GTGTGGAGGGTCAGGTCTGTACAGTGTAGGGTCAGTGTGGAGGGTCAGGTCCTGTACAGTGTAGGGTCAGTGTGGAGGGTCAGGTCCTGTACAGTGTGGAGGGTCAGGTCCTGTACAGTGTGGAGGGTCAGGTCCTGTACAGTGTGGAGGGTCAGGTCCTGTACAGTGTGGAGGGTCAGGTCCTGTACAGTGTGGAGGGTCAGGTCCTGTACAGTGTGGAGGGTCAGGTGTACAGTGTGGAGGGTCAGGTCCTGTACAGTGGGTCCTGTACAGTGTGGAGGGTCAGGTCCTGTACAGTGTGGAGGGTCAGGTCCTGTACAGTGTGGAGGGTCAGGTCCTGTACAGTGTGGAGGGTCAGGTCCTGTACAGTGTGGAGGGTCAGGTCCTGTACAGTGTGGAGGGTCAGGTCCTGTACAGTGTGGAGGGTCAGGTCCTGTACAGTGTGGAGGGTCAGGTCCCGTACAGTGTGGAGGGTCAGGTCCTGTACAGTGTGGAGGGTCAGGTCCTGTACAGTGTGGAGGGTCAGGTCCTGTATAGTGTGGAGGGTCAGGTCCTGTATAGTGTGGAGGGTCAGGTCCCGTACAGTGTGGAGGGTCAGGTCCTGTATAGTGTGGAGGGTCAGGTCCTGTATAGTGTGGAGGGTCAGGTCCCGTACAGTGTGGAGGGTCAGGTCCTGTATAGTGTGGAGGGTCAGGTCCTGTATAGTGTGGAGGGTCAGGTCCCATACAGTGTGGAGGGTCAGGTCCTGTACAGTGTGACACGACTTGTGTGTTGTGGGGAAAACTTACTCGTGTGATTTTATTGTTTATTTTAATTACAAGTATTAATTATTTCATTTAATTATTTATAATTTATTTACAAATATTTTTTAATAATTTATTTATTTCGATAGCGGACTGTATGGTGCTAAAGTGGATTATTACACCGTAAAAAAATGCAAAAACATCCTTATAAAAGACATAACATGACAGGTTATGGTTAAATTATTATTAGGAATGGTCCATTGTTCTTATTTGCAGGAGTTTATTTTTGCTAATAAAGTTAGTAATTTATTTTGGTTTAATTGGTTCAGGGGATCGAATGTACTCAGTCATTAAAGTCAAAGATGGTTCTGAGACTACAGTGGGTTCAGTGACATTGGTCGCAGTGACTTGTAATTGTTAAGGCTACTGTTCACTGATTTGCCACTGTGGCCTCATGGACTCATCTTCAACTTTAAATGATGATATAAAAATCAACTTCTGTAGATGTAGTCAGCTGTATTTTCCTAGTATATTTTACTGGAGTTATATATTCAACTGACAAATATAAACTTCTATTTGAATTGTTTATCTGCAGGGTCTCCTCAGGCTTAATACTGGGACTGTGAGTAACTTGCCTCCTGAGAATTTAACAGGTTTATTCCCTCATATTTAGTTTGGCTAATGATGAATTTGTTATAGTAGTCCGCACCTACAAGAATTCCTACGTCGGTGAGGGGATCAGACGTAATTTTACCTGACAATTTTATTCCTCTTTATCTCAGTAATTTTTTGGTAGCTCCCAAACCTTGTACATGTAGGTCGGTTGGAATTGTGTCCATACAATGGTTTATACTTGACAGACGTAGCCGCCTAAATGGTACTGATGGTTGTACCACCTGGTAGACTTGTGGTCCTGTATCAGCATAGAACCCTGATATATTCACTGTCACCTAAGTTACAGGATTTAATTGTAGATCATCTGCCACCTTTTTAGTGTCAAATGTTCTCTGGGACCCCTGGTCAACCCACGGGTATGGACCCCTGGTCAACCCACGGGTATGGACCCCTGGTCAACCCACGGGTATGGACCCCTGGTCAACCCACGGGTATGGACCCCTGGCCCTCTTATTTTGGATGGTAAGTTGGGCAGTAGGCAACGTCGCATTATTTGTTGACTTTGTCGATAGGACACAGATATTCTGTCGCTCCTTGCAGTACTGCAGTACTAGTTACACCTATTACAGGGGGTATGACTGGATCTCACAGTCGATGGGGTTGTGTTTCATGAGGAACCTCATGCAATTTTGCAACTCTCTGAGTCGCTCGACATGCGCATCACAATCATGATAATTGGTGCAGTTGTATATTGAATGGTCTTCTTGACAGAACAAACATGTTCCATAGCCTACAGCACCTTTTGAAGTGACCGCCTTGGGTGGTAGAGTAACTGTAGACTTGGAGCGTCCCACTGTATAAGTGCCCACACTGCCTTGTTTCCACTTTAGTGTGGAAACAGATTGTTTAGATTAAGTTGGACTACTTGTTGTACGCCTTGTTTTATTATTAGTTCCTGGGTCCTCAGCGAACCTCGTCGGTTTAGACTTGTCCGTTGATGAACTCGTTGTTGGTATTGTCTTGTGGGTTCTCATTCGGTTCACCGTCATCCTCAAGCCATCATATATTTCATCCAGGGCATGGATGTCTTTCCAATAATTGGAATAGATGGAGGCTAAAATTTATTTGGGGAATTTTTTCTGAACCTCTAATTTTAACACCTATTCTGCTCAAGGCACATCTGCCTAGGCAGCAAGAGCTTTGACTAGAGTCTCCACTTGGAGTCTAAATTCTTGAAGAGCGTCAGGTGTTGTTTCTGGTGTAGGTATTACTCTCAGTTTACAGCAGAGCTTAGCAATAGCAATCTCTTTGTTACTATAGTTGACTTCTAACAACTGTATGGAAGTATCGTAGTCGCCATACCCTTGGAATCAGATGATCAATAACTGGATTTGCTTCTCCCTTAAGGGTACTTCCCAAATAAAGAAATTTCTTTGTTTTATTAATGGAAACTTAAGAGTTACTAATGAATTGAACGTGTGCCAGTAACATTCAAAGTTTTCGTCATCTCCTCATGTCATGTTTCATCATGTCATGAAATTGAGGTAAATCAATGGCAGGAAGATGAACTTCATTGAATGATTCAGATGTATTTTATTACCTCCATTTGTTGTTAGAACAATTTGAGAGACAGAGTTTATATATTATTGTTCTAGGAACTGTATTTATTTATCGAGGCGCTCTTGGATATCCTCCTCATATTGTACAGTTTCGGCACGGAAGGTGTCTAGCTTGTCTGCTTGACCAATTTGTTCAAGGAGGATTTGAAGGTAAATTTTTGCAGCCTCTGCAGCCCTTTGTAATTTTTGCTTAGCCACCTCTGTGTGGCTTTCAAATACTTTGGGGGGGGGGCGGTCACATTTGACTGGATTAATTGATCACATTTGTTCACTTATCCAGTGACATGTCCATTGTGGCCATGTATGATCTGAGGTACAACATACTATTACTAGCCTGTTGTCTGTTGTACTGGCTGCTGAATTTGGTTTTATTAGCCCTATAATTTCGTAGGGGAAGTAACTGGGGTATTGGCTCATAAATTTGGGGCAAATATTTATTAATAATAGCCTAGGGTAAAATTTTCAGTGACTAAGCATAAGTGTTCGCGCACCTGGCATAACTGACACGCTAACCCTTACACCACCACCCCACACCCTTCAAAAGGGAAGGAAAATTCGGAGATTTTTTCTTCTCCGAAGTTTCCTTCCCTTTTGAAGGGTATATAGACACGCCTTAATTGACTGAGCTACGACATGGTTAAAAGAAATGCAACCGGGAGTTCAACTTGACCTCACACGGATCCTGCAGTCTCTCCGAGACACAAACCAGGTTTTTATACAATTCCCCCATGCACCCGAGCTCTGCCAATAAGCTATTCTACCACTTCAATTTGAGGTCAAGTTGAACTCCCGGTTGCAATTCTTTTAACCATGTCGTAGCTCAGTCGATTAAGGGGCGTCTGGGATCCTCTCGGGCGTAGGTTCGAACCCTCATCACGGCCCTTGTGGATTTGTTCATTTGATGCATCACGCTATTGTGACCTTTGTGTGTATATCTATGTATATTCATGTATATCTATTGGTGAATATATTAGTGGGTATAAACAGGAGCTGCCACGCATGGGCCAATAGGCCTTCTGAAGTTCTTTTGCGGCTCTTATTTGTAGCCACCTAATTCCCATTAATTTGTCATTGTACCTCACTTCACTTCACCTCTCTCTCCTGCCTCTATTTATGTCCAATACTTGACTTGTAAATCGAAATCATTCCTTCTGAAGATGTATTAATATACGAAAGTACTTAAGGAAATTCCTGTTTCAGTTCTTTCTCCGTGGTCTAACACTGTCACATTTTTCATCACGTGTTAATTTTCGTGATTTACGCACATATCTATGTATATCCATATATATGTATATGTATATACATATATATGGATATACATATACATGGATACATATATGTATATGTATCCATGTATATCTATGTATATCCATGTGCATCATTATCTTAATTTAAGATACGTTTTAGCTTTACCTCATCGATTGATTAATGACATATTTTCAGTAGAAAAACTTTCACAGTCATGTAATGCTTAATTCCAACCTCTTGGGCTCGACGGTACAGCGACGGTCTTGCTTCATGCAGGTCGGCGTTCAATCTCCGACCGTCCAAGTGGTTGGGCAGTATTCCGGCCCTCCCGTCCCATCCCAAAACCTTATCCTGACCCCTTACAATTGTTACATAATAGTAATGACGTGGCGAAATTCCCTGATAAGTCCCATACCTCAGATATTTGTGTTTGTGGTTGAAGATGGTGCACACAGAGGCCAGATTCACGAAAGAGTTACGCAAATACTTACGATCGTGTGCATCTTTTCTCAGTCTTTGACGGCTTTGGTTACATTTATTAAACAGTTTACAAGCATGAAACTTCCTAATCAACTGTTGTTATTGTTATAAACAGCTTCCTAGTGCCTCGTAGCTCATTAACTGTTTAATAATTGTAAACAAAGTCGCCAAAGATTGAGGAAAGATGTACAGGTTCGTAAGCGCTTGCAAAACTGCTTGCTTCGTGAATCTGGCTCCAGGCCAGGCTTGCCGGCGGCGAGTGTGGCAGACATAAAAGGTGTGGGCCTCCTCGCAGGGCGCGTCGGTCCTGCGCATGCTGGAGAACTTCATGGGTCCTGAACACTTCCGTGCTGGCGTGAGCAACTTCCTCCGACGCTACCAGTACGACAACGCTGTCACTCGGGACCTGTGGGCGGAGCTGGAGGCCGTGCTGGAGGAGCACCTCAACATTACCACCATCATGGACACCTGGACACGCCAGATGGGCTTCCCTGTCCTCTCCGTCACCTCCTCCCCCGACCACCCCAACCTGGTAGGTTATGTCTAGTGTGTTACTGGTATGTCTAGTGTGTTACCGGTATGTCTAGTGTGTTACTGGTATGTCTAGTGTGTTACTGGTATGTCTAGTGTGTTACTGGTATGTCTAGTGTGTTACTAGTGGTATGTCTAGTGTGTTACCGGTATGTCTATGTCTAGTGTGTTACTGGTATGTCTAGTGTGTTATGTCTAGTGTGTTACTGGTATGTCTAGTGTGTTACTGGTATGTCTAGTGTGTTACTGGTATGTCTAGTGTGTTACTGGTATGTCTAGTGTGTTACTGGTATGTCTAGTGTGTTACCGGTATGTCTAGTGTGTTACCGGTATGTCTAGTGTGTTACTGGTATGTCTAGTGTGTTACTGGTATGTCTAGTGTGTTCCCAGTATGTCTAGTGTGTTACCGGTATGTCTAGTGTGTTACTGGTATGTCTAGTGTGTTACTGGTATGTCTAGTGTGTTACTGGTATGTCTAGTGTGTTACTGGTATGTCTAGTGTGTTACTGGTATGTCTAGTGTGTTACTGGTATGTCTAGTGTGTTACTGGTATGTCTAGTGTGTTACCAGTATGTCTAGTGTGTTACTGGTATGTCTAGTGTGTTACTGGTATGTCTAGTGTGTTACTGGTATGTCTAGTGTGTTACTGGTATGTCTAGTGTGTTACCAGTATGTCTAGTGTGTTCCCAGTATGTCTAGTGTGTTACCGGTATGTCTAGTGTGTTCCCAGTATGTCTAGTGTGTTACTGGTATGTCTAGTGTGTTTCCAGTATGTCTAGTGTGTTACCAGTATGTCTAGTGTGTTACTGGAATATCTAGTGTGTTACTGGTATGTCTAGTATGTTACTGGTATGTTTAGTGTGTTACTGGTATGTCTAGTGTGTTACTGGTATGTCTAGTGTGTTCCCAGTATGTCTAGTGTGTTACTGGTATGTCTAGTGTGTTCCCAGTATGTCTAGTGTGTTACTGGTATGTCTAGTGTGTTACCAGTATGTCTAGTGTGTTACCGGTATGTCTAGTGTGTTACTGGTATGTCTAGTGTGTTACTGGTATGTCTAGTGTGTTACTGGTATGTCTAGTGTGTTACTGGTATGTCTAGTGTGTTACTGGTATGTCTAGTGTGTTACCAGTATGTCTAGTGTGTTACCAGTATGTCTAGTGTGTTACCGGTATGTCAGTATGTCTAGTGTGTTACTGGTATGTCTAGTGTGTTACCGGTATGTCTAGTGTGTTACCAGTATGTCTATGTCTAGTGTGTTACTGGTATGTCTAGTGTGTTACTGGTATGTCTAGTGTGTTACTGGTATGTCTAGTGTGTTACTGGTATGTCTAGTGTGTTACCAGTATGTCTAGTGTGTTACTGGTATGTCTAGTGTGTTCCCAGTATGTCTAGTGTGTTACTGGTATGTCTAGTGTGTTACCAGTATGTCTAGTGTGTTACCGGTATGTCTAGTGTGTTACTGGTATGTCTAGTGTGTTACTGGTATGTCTAGTGTGTTACTGGTATGTCTAGTGTGTTACTGGTATGTCTAGTGTGTTACTGGTATGTCTAGTGTGTTACCAGTATGTCTAGTGTGTTACCAGTATGTCTAGTGTGTTACCAGTATATCTAGTGTGTTACTGGTATGTCTAGTGTGTTACTGGTATGTCTAGTGTGTTACCGGTATGTCTAGTGTGTTACTGGTATGTCTAGTGTGTTACCGGTATGTCTAGTGTGTTACCAGTATGTCTAGTGTGTTACTGGTATGTCTAGTGTGTTACTGGTATGTCTAGTGTGTTACCGGTATGTCTTGTGTGTTACTGGTATGTCTAGTGTGTTACTGGTATGTCTAGTGTGTTACCAGTATGTCTAGTGTGTTACTGTTATGTCTAGTGTGTTACCAGTATGTCTAGTGTGTTACCGGTATGTCTAGTGTGTTACTGGTATGTCTAGTGTGTTACTGGTATGTCTAGTGTGTTACTGGTATGTCTAGTGTGTTACTGGTATGTCTAGTGTGTTACCAGTATGTCTAGTGTGTTACCAGTATGTCTAGTGTGTTACCAGTATGTCTAGTGTGTTACCAGTATGTCTAGTGTGTTACTGGTATGTCTATTGTGTTACTGGTATGTCTAGTGTGTTACTGGTATGTCTAGTGTGTTACTGGTATGTCTAGTGTGTTACTGGTATGTCTAGTGTGGCACTAGTATGTCTAGTGTGTTCCCAGTATGTCTAGTGTGTTACTGGTATGTCTAGTGTGTTACTGGTATGTCTAGTGTGTTCCCAGTATGTCTAGTGTGTTACCGGTATGTCTAGTGTGTTACCAGTATGTCTAGTGTGTTACTGGTATGTCTAGTGTGTTACTGGTATGTCTAGTGTGTTACCGGTATGTCTAGTGTGTTACTGGTATGTCTAGTGTGTTACTGGTATGTCTAGTGTGTTACTGGTATGTCTAGTGTGTTCCCAGTATGTCTAGTGTGTCACCGGTATGTCTAGTGTGTTACCAGTATGTCTAGTGTGTTACTGGTATGTCTAGTGTGTTCCCAGTATGTCTAGTGTGTTACCAGTATGTCTAGTGTGTTCCCAGTATGTCTAGTGTGTTACCGGTATGTCTAGTGTGTTACCAGTATGTCTAGTGTGTTACTGGTTGTGTCTAGTGTGTTACCAGTATGTCTAGTGTGTTACTGGTATGTCTAGTGTGTTACTAGTATGTCTAGTGTGTTACTGGTATGTCTAGTGTGTTACTGGTATGTCTAGTGTGTTACTGGTATGTCTAGTGTGTTACTGGTATGTCTAGTGTGTTACTGGTATGTCTAGTGTGTTACTGGTATGTCTAGTGTGTTACTGGTATGTCTAGTGTGTTACCGGTATGTCTAGTGTGTTACCGGTATGTCTAGTGTGTTACCGGTATGTCTAGTGTGTTACCGGTATGTCTAGTGTGTTACCGGTATGTCTAGTGTGTTACCGGTATGTCTAGTGTGTTACAGGTATGTCTAGTGTGTTACCGGTATGTCTAGTGTGTTACAGGTAAGTTATTTATAGATCAATAAACCTGGTTCCATAAATCAACAGCCATTAATTGATTGTGCATTTAATGGCTGCACACTTCTCACTGTTCACACTGTGTTCACTGTTCACACTGTGTTCACTGTTCACACTGTGTTCACTGTTCACACTGTGTTCACTGTTCACACTGTGTTCACTGTTCACACTGTGCTCAGTGTTCACACTGTGTTCACTGTTCACACTGTGTTCACTGTTCACACTGTGCTCACTGTTCACACTGTGTTCACTGTTCACACTGTGTTCACAGAATACCAAATCCTTATCACAGGATAAGGGTTTGGGATGGGACGGGGGAAGGGATGGAAGAATGGTGCCCAACCTCTTGGACGGTCGGGGATTGAACGTTGACCTGCATGAAGCGAGACCGCTTAGACCAAGTGTGTAGGTGTATAGCCGGGAACGCCCACCCTATTGTATAGATGGAAACTTCCAAAGTATACTGGCGATGAGTCACAATAACGTGGCTGAAGTATGTTGACCAGACCACACACTAGAAATTGAAGGGACGACGACGTTTAGGTCCGTCCTGGACCATTCTCAAGTCGATTGTCACAAACGACTTGAGAATGGTCCAGGACGGACCGAAACGTCGTCGTCCCTTCAATTTCTAGTGTGTGGTCTGGTCAACTTCCAAAGTATATTAAAGATTTAATCAACCTCTCAGTTTATTATATAGACGACACTGAGTATACTGTATTAATAGACCCTGGAAGGATAGTCTCAGTATATAGTATGGACAGGAATATTCAGTATATTTTATGTACAGGCATTCCCAGTGTTTTGTATGGTCGGGCACTCGCAGTATACTATATAGACGGGCACTCGCAGTATACTATATAGACGGGCACTCGCAGTATACTATATAGACGGGTACTCGCAGTATACTATATAGACGGGCACTCGCAGTATACTATATAGACGGGCACTCGCAGTATACTATATAGACGGGCACTCGCAGTATACTATATACACGGGCACTCGCAGTATACTATATAGACGGGCACTCGCAGTATACTATATAGACGGGCACTCGCAGTATACTATATAGACGGGCACTCGCAGTATACTATATAGACGGGCACTCGCAGTATACTATATAGACGGGTACTCGCAGTATACTATATAGACGGGCACTCGCAGTATACTATATAGACGGGCACTCGCAGTATACTATATAGACGGGCACTCGCAGTATACTATATAGACGGGCACTCGCAGTATACTATATAGACGGGCACTCGCAGTATACTATATAGACGGGCACTCGCAGTATACTATATAGACGGGCACTCGCAGTATACTATATAGACGGGCACTCGCAGTATACTATATAGACGGGCACTCGCAGTATACTATATAGACGGGCACTCGCAGTATACTATATAGACGGGCACTCGCAGTATACTATATAGACGGGCACTCGCAGTATACTATATAGACGGGCACTCGCAGTATACTATATAGACGGGCACTCGCAGTATACTATATAGACGGGCACTCGCAGTATACTATATAGACGGGCACTCGCAGTATACTATATAGACGGGCACTCGCAGTATACTATATAGACGGGCACTCGCAGTATACTATATAGACGGGCACTTCGAACAACCCGTCTAATTATATTGCTTTTCTCTCTCGTGCAAAAGCTGGAGGTGAGACAGATGAGGTTCCTGAGCGACCCAGAGACAAAAAGCAAGGACGACTCCCCGTATGGGTACCGGTGGGACATCCCTGTCACCTACATCACCGACGTGTCCCCCCGTCAACAAGAGTGGTTCTACAGGGACATGGATAAACGTGAGACATTCAGTACTGTTCTTGTGAGATTTTTCGTTATTATTATTCTAGTATTACATCTGTCAACTTTAAACTGAAAGTCTAGATGGTCCTCCTGAGGAAGGACCTCCTTAGCTAATACGCTAAGTGTAGTAAGCAACTCATTCCCCTCTCTAGAGACCATAGAGAAAAAGACTAGGCGCGAACAAACGCAGAGACCTCAAAAGTTTGAGATCCTTTTCACTGAGCTGTTGACCTTCGCTTATCGCTGGAGCGAATCTAACGAGTAGGTCCCGGGTTCTCATAACATATTATTTTGTTGTGTGGTGCTATGAATTCAGCTCTAAACTCATGAAGCAGTCTCATATGAATAGCAATAATAATTTCAGGCAACATGGCAGAACAAATGTAAATTAATAATATGAGTGGAGTGAGATTACTCGAAATCCTTCCTGTGACACCTTTACTGACCGCTCGACACCAGCCACGAGTGCTGCACAAATGAACTAACTTGAACATACTGAGTGATCACAGAGGAATCAACCAAGCAAAACATATTAATCTATAATCACTATGCAACAACTTTTTACTTTACACTCTTTACGTTACTTTACACTCTTTGCAGCTTTTCCCTGCAGTAGCAGTTGCAATGCTTTCAAGACAGCAGCCTATCAATGACATGACAATGACTAATGGGGTTACTGGCAACGCCAGCAACCCTCCTTAATTAAATTCTTACGTTAACACTTCGTCTATCAGACGATCAACAATCAATGACTAATTGATTACGTTAATATTAATAGAGCACTTAAGTTAACTTAATCTTGACTCCCACAGACAAATTAAACTGTAAACTGTCACTCGTAACTCGGAATTAGACAAACAATTTACCCGTCAAGCGTTCGGCGAATAATCCCCATTAATCCCTGTACTATGGACAGCTGATTAATCCCAGCGGGAGTTACGTTATCGGTTACTATCATCCATTCGATAATTTACTACAATTTCTATGTCCAAAGTGCTAAGAGGACGGCAATCACCCTTGACTATCCTCAAGCAATTAATTACTATCTCGAAGATCAATAATTAATTATACACAAATACGTCACCTCTCACACTGGCTCAGCAATTATGACATCAGCGAAATGAATTCCCTCTGGAGTCTTCCATACCCCAATGAACTCAGGTGACTAGTGCAATCCCACGGGCCGATAACTAATCACCACGTCTACATTACTTAACAATGACTTTACTCTCCCAAGACTCAATCAAATTACCTGTCCAACTGACAGATATTAATAACTGACGTTACGTTAATGCAACAATGGAGCTTTCATGTGAATCGATCAACCCTGATCGGAGTTAATTACCTTGACTTCCGTGAACCCGTATCACCTGTCCAATTGACAGATAATTTGCAACAGACAGTACTTAAAATGCAAGACTTCAGCCCTCCCGAAATTCCTACAACCTGTCTGACTTTGCCTGAAGTGGCTGCTTGACTTGGCTCCCTGACCGACCAAAACAGCTGTTCCTTGGAAAATAATTAACCCAAACGTATTACACACAGAAATCACAATTGCGTGATGTACCAAATGAACAAATCCACAAGGACGTGACGAGGATTCGAGGATCCTTTTGACCATGTCGTAGCTCAGTCGATTAAGGCAGCGTCTGGGATGCTCTCGGACGCAGGTTCGAATCCTCGTCACGGCCCTTGTGGATTTGTTCATTTGATGCATCACGCAATTGTGATTTATGTGTGTAATGAAGTAAGGGCGAAGAGGGAGAACGGCCTATTGACATAGCTCGAGTGCATGGGGGAAGTTGTGTAAAACCCTGGTTTGTGCCTCGGAGAGGCTGCAGGATCCAGTAAGTTCAGTAGAACTTCGGTTTGAACTCCTTTTGACCTTGTCGTAGCTCAGTCGAATAAGGCAGCATCTGGGATGCTCTCGGACGCAGGTTCGAATCCTCGTCACGTCCCTTGTGGATTTGCCCAAACGTATCATACGTTAACTCAAATTGTCTTATGAACAATTCCTCTATAAGCAATGGGTGTTCCCTTTGTGACCTTACATTAATCTCCCTCTCAATCAACATTCACTGAATTCTGGACTTGGATGACAACCAAACATACAGAATAATAACACCAAGTCCTCGTCCCAATGACATGTTCACCCTCCACACAATAAATCAACACTCGATGATCTAAAACAATTACAATCCGTTATAATTGACAATTACTGTAGAACACCAGTAAAAAACACACTCGGTGATCTAAATCATTAGAACACGGTCCAAACAATTTGCTGAACTACAGCAATAACACACACGGTGATCGAATAATTAGAACACGTATGTTCTAATTTGCTGCAACCACAGCAATAACACACTATTCAGCGGTATGCCACCAGGCTCGTCCCGGAACTGAGAGGTATGAGCTACGAGGAAAGGCTAAAGGAGCTGAACCTCACGTCCCTGAAAACAGAAGAGTAAGTGGAGACATGATAACCACCTACAAAATTCTCAGGGGAATTGACAGGGTGGACAAAGACAAACTCTTCAGCACGGGTGGGACACGAACACGGAGACACAGGTGGAAACTTAGTACCCAGATGTGCCACAGAGACGTTAGAAAGAATTTTTTCAGTGTCAGAGAAGATAACAGATGACTCCATACACAGTTTCAAATGTAGATATGATGGAGCCCAGTAGGCTCAGGCATCTGTACACCAGTTGATTGACAGTTGAGAGGCGGGATCAAAGAGACAAAGCTCAACCCCCGCAAGCACAATTAGGTAAGTAATATTAGGTTAGTACTAGGTTTCGTGACACTATAATTATATATAGTACTTGCTGATCTCACCTGTAGTTCTCAGCTATTAAACGCTAATGTGGAACACTAAGGAGATAACACTCCCGGTCAACTTGGGCAAGTGATTAGCGATCCCACGGATTGATAATTAATCCCATAAATTCACGTTACTCTACAGAGGTGTCAGCTGTCGCTCCCGACAGCGACGTTACTCTCGCTCCACCACAAATCCACCAAATTACATTAAACGGGTCAGCCACATATATAGATAATTAAATTTATCGCAGCCTTGGAATACATAACACTTGTATAAAAACACACACTGGTATCACACCACAATATCAAATGCCAGTAAATCTCCGGTGTTACATAAGTCACTCTACCAAGAAAATGATGGCCAGAACTGGCTCTCCTCTCCGGCAGAAGACTATACAAGTGGACATGGGGCATGACATAATTCACCTAGAGATGTAATCACATAAAATCCCACCAGTATGGAGTATAAATTCTCTAGGACGGCCCTTAGCCCTAGTTCTAATACACTCTGTATGTTTCCCATGTGTCCACACACACAAACACACACACATACACACACAAGTGTCCTTGACTTGTATACCATGCAAGGTGATGGAGAAGATCGTGAGAAAAAACCTGGTAACACATCTGGAGAGAAGGGACCGTGACAAATCGCCAACATGGATTCAAGGAGGGTAAATCTTGCCTTACAGGCTTGATAGAATTCTACGATCAGGTGACACAGATTAAGCAAGAAAGAGAGGGCTGGGCGGACTGCATTTTCTTGGATTGTCGGAAAGCCTTTGACACAGTACCGCATAAGAGGCTGGTACATAAGCTGGAGAGACAGGGAGGTGTAGCTGGTAAGGTGCTCCAGTGGATAAGGGAGTATCTAAGCAATAGGAAGCAGAGAGTTACGGTGAGGGGTGAGACCTCCGATTGGCGTGAAGTCACCAGTGGAGTCCCACAGGGCTCTGTACTCGGTCCTATCTTGTTTCTGATATATGTAAATGATCTCCCGGAGGGTATCGATTCATTTCTCTCAATGTTTGCGGACGATGCTAAAATTATGAGAAGGATTAAAACAGAAGAGGACTGTTTGAGGCTTCAAGAAGACCTAGACAAGCTGAAGGAATGGTCGAACAAATGGTTGTTAGAGTTTAACCCAACCAAATGTAATGTAATGAAGATAGGTGTAGGGAGCAGGAGGCCAGATACAAGGTATCATCTGGGAGAGGAAATTCTTCAGGAGTCAGAGAAGGAAAAAGACTTGGGGGTTGATATCACGCCAGACCTGTCTCCTGCAGCACATATCAAGCGGATAACATCAGCGGCATATGCCAGGCTGGCCAACATACGAACGGCATTCAGAAACTTGTGTAAAGAATCATTCAGAACTTTGTATACCACATATGTCAGGCCAATCCTGGAGTATGCAGCCCCAGCATGGAGTCTATATCAAGTCAAGGATAAGACTAAACTGGAAAAGGTTCAAAGGTTTGCCACCAGACTAGTACCCGAGCTGAGAGGTATGAGCTACGAGGAGAGACTACGGGAATTAAACCTCACTTCGCTGGAAGACAGAAGAGTTAGGGGGGACATGATCACCACATTCAAGATTCTGAAGGGGATTGATAGGGTAGATAAAGACAGTCTATTTAACACAAGGGGAACACGCACAAGGGGACACAGGTGGAAACTGAGTGCCCAAATGAGCCACAGAGATATTAGAAAGAACTTTTTTAGTGTCAGAGTGGTTGACAAATGGAATGCATTAGGGGGTGATGTGGTGGAGGCTGACTCCATACACAGTTTCAAGTGTAGATATGATAGAGCCAGATAGGCTCAGGAATCTGTACACCTGTTGATTGACGGTTGAGAGGCGGGACCAAAGAGCCAGAGCTCAACCCCCGCAAACACAACTAGGTGAGTACAACTAGGTGAGTACACACACACACACACACACACACACACACACACACACACACACACACACACACACACACACACACACACACACACACACACACACACACACACACACACACACACACACACACACACACACACACACACACACACACACACACACACACACACACACACGTACGTCTGCACACAACAGCTAAAGTCGTCTCCTTGATGACAATGACGTTATATAGGGGTGAAAATCTCACGTGCTTCGCGCTTCTCTTCACCTAACAGGTACTAAAGAACAATGCTGGCGGATCACCTGACCTTGAATTCAGGTTTAGAGATAAATCACCAAATACGACACAGGGGGTACTTACTCAATTATACGGCCGGCCCATTCACACATCCTCTCATGCACACACACTGCTGTAGCACTGTAGTCTCTTAGTACGGCGATAGCTAGGCTAGAGTAGTCCGTGTGGAGCCCATACGGCTCGGCTCAGTTTGTACACCTTCACTAGGACGGCTTCGCAGCTCCCTCAGGGCGAAGCGTGGTACACGTACACACGGGCACCGAACACTGTGAGCGTTTCTGTTTACCGAAATTCCCACAAATATGTAGGGGAAACTGCCCTGAACACTGGGCAAGATATTCCCAGATCTCTCTACTGCTAAATGACACTAGTAGATCAGACGAAGTCTGATTGATGGCTGGAGACGGGGACTTATGACAGTGTTGCACTCAGCTCGTATGGCTTACCCACTTCTCCCTTCCAGTTAATGTACTTCCTTTATATCACACGCAAATACGACGAGATCCCAGATTCTGGTATGTTCCCAGCGGACCCTCATCCTTTGTGCGAGTATATGAAGATGTACTAGAAGCCGCTAGAGACACCAGTTTCACTTGGCTGGTCGAAACCCTGTCTGACCAGCATACTGTCTATGGCAGGATGCCGTCCTGATGCCAGGCCGGCAGGGTGCCGGCTTCACCGTCTCTTCTCAAACTAGCCAATCAGAGAGACGCGCACCTCAGGCCTATACCTTTTGGCCAATCACAGGCCACTTGCTTGGCGAGCAAAGTGGCGTCCCCGAGGCGTCTGCCATGGCTGCCATGGCTGCCATGGCTGCCATGGGGACAGCTCGGCGGCGGCTGGCCACCTCAAGCCTCCCTGCTTCCTCTCGCCGCTCTCTCTCCCTTAATCTTACACTTATAAACTGCTACACGCTCTCTTTTCTCAAATGTGCTTCAACGGCCATTTACGTGCCCAGTGCACGGGAGTGTACGTGCACCTACACTGCACCACACGTGCAGAGTAGGTGGTTTGGTGGTTTGCAGTGAAGGTGGTTTGTAGTGTTGGTGGTTTGCAGTGTAGGTGGTTTCATTATACAATTTCTGTGTTATCATTCATTGTATTATTTATACAATGAACCTCAGTTCTGGGATTTATCTTATATTATTTATATCTTTATCTCTCAAAACAAGCTTTATTTTTCAGTTACGTCAAGTTCTTTGAAGATGTGTTGTGATAATGTGTTATATTCCGGCAGTGACCTTGAGGAAGCCGGCGGGCGCGTCTTGGGTCAAGGTCAACCTCGGCCACTATGGCTACTACCGGGTCAACTACCAACCCTCCATGTGGCAACACCTCATCTCCCTCCTCCTTAACAACTCTCAGGTAGTTAGCTGCATCTCTCTCTCTCTCTCTCTCTCTCTCTCTCTCTCTCTCTCTCTCTCTCTCTCTCTCTCTCTCTCTCTCTCTCTCTCTCTCTCTCCCTCTCTCTCTCTCTCTCTCTCTCTCTCTCTCTCCCCTCTCCTCATCTCTCTCTCTCTCTCCCCTGCACCCTCCCCTCTCTCTCTCTCTCCCCACTCATCTCCTCTCTCTCTCTCTCTCTCTCTCCCCTGCACCCTCCCCCCTCCACTCTCTCTCTCTCTCTCCCTCCGTCTCTGCCTCTTTTGTTTCTGATAATAATATCAGAATATTGTTATTACTCTACCACCGCTACTATCCACGATCTGCCAACCATCATCAGTACCACAACTACCACAACCATTTACAACATGCTCTCTCCCTACACTCACACCACCTCCGCCATCAACCACCACACGCTCACCACTTTCTCAAGGAAAAGATGGCGAGGATGAAGCTGGTGATGATGTAAAGAGAAGGAGCTTGAAACCCACCGCCAGCATGGGTTCAGGGATGGTAAACAGTGCCTCACACGACTCATACAATTATATGACCACGCGCCAAATTTAGTCAAGAAAAAGAAAGCCTTATGGCATAGTTTGTCAGAAAGCCTTTGACACTGTTCTCCATAAGAGGCTGTTACAAAAGTTGGAGCAACAGGCAGGAGTAAAGGTTAGGTGCTCCAGTGGATAATGGAGTATCTAAGCAACAGGAAACAACGAGTAACTTCGTGATCACCTTGTCTCCTGTGCCATTCAAGTCCAGTACGTGCTCACCATAGCCCGTGCTATTTGGAACTTTTTGTTTTGAGTAGCTGAAGCTATAACAACAAACAACAGCAAGTAACTGTGTGGGGAAGACTTCAGAGTAGCGAGATGACACCAGCGGAGTCCCACAGGGCTCTGTACTTGGACTTATCCTGTTTCTGATATATGTAAACGATTATTACTCTCAATGTTTGCTGATGATGCCAAAATTACGAGAAGAATCAAGACAGATGAAGATAGACAGAGACTACAGGATGACCTGGACAAACTAGAGGAATGGTCTAGATAATGGCTACTAAAATTTAACTCAGGAAAGTGTAAAGTAATGAAATTAGGTGAAGGGAGCAGGAGGCTGATCACAAGATACCATCTGGGAGGTGAAATCCTGCAAGAGACAAATAGAGAGAAAGATCTGGTGATTGATACCACACCGAACCTGTCCCCAGAGGCCCACGTCAAAAGGGTACCAATAGTGGCATATACTAGACTGGCCAAGATAATAACTACCTTTAGAAACGTGTGTGCGGAATTATTCAGAATCTTGGATACTATATGTCAAATCAATCCTAGAGTGTGCAGCTCCAGCCTGGAGTCCACCCCTAGTTAAACAAAAGACAAGGTTAGAGAAGATTCTGAGGTATGCCACCAAAATGGTCCCATAACTGAGAGGTATGAGTTACAAGGAAAGACTACCCGAATTAAACCTCACGTCTCTGGAAGACAGATGGGTTAGGAGAGACGTATATGATCACCACAGAAAAAATTCTCAAAGGAATTGATAGGGTGGACAAAGATAAACCATTTAGCATAGGTGGAACACGAACAAGGGAACACAGGTGGAAACTTTGTACTCAAATGGTCCACAGAGACATTAGTGTCACGGTAGTTAACAAATGGGATGTATTAGGCAGTGATGTGCTGGAGCCTGACTCAACACACAGTCTCAAGTGTAGATATGATAGAGCCCAATAGGCTCAGGAACCTGTACACCTGTTGATTGACAGATCGAAGTCGGGACCAGAGAGCTGAAGCTCAACCCATGCAAGCACAACTTGGTGAGTACTCGCTACCACCAACCATAACAACTCATCACTCACCACAACTCATTACTCACCACAACTCATCACTCACCACAACTCATCACTCACCACAACTCATCACTCACCACAACTTATCACTCACCACAACTCATCACTCACCACAACTCATTACTCACCACAACTCGTCACTCACCACAACTCATCACTCACCACAACTCGTCACTCACCACAACTCATCACTCACCACAATTCATCACTCACCACAACTCATCACTCACCACAACTCATCACTCACCACAACTCACCACTCACCACAACTCATCACTCACCACAACTCACCACTCCCCACAACTCGTCACTCACCACAACTCATCACTCACCACAACTCACTACTCACCACAACTCATTACTCACCACAACTCATCACTCACCACAACTCATTACTCACCACAACTCATTACTCACCACAACTCATCACTCACCACAACTCATTACTCACCACAACTCATCACTCACCACAACTCATCACTCACCACAACTCATCACTCACCACAACTCATCACTCACCACAACTCATCACTCACGAGAACCATCGACTCCACCTACCGCCAAGTGATCATTGTTTACAAATACACTAACAAGAAAAAAACAAAAGTTCTGGAACCCAGCACAGTCATCACCACCACCGGCACAGTCATCACCACCACCAGCACAGACATCACCACCACCAGCACAGTCATCACCACCACCAGCACAGTCATCACCACCACCAGCACAGTCATCACCACCACCAGCACAGTCATCACCACCACCAGCACAGTCATCACCACCACCAGCACAGTCATCACCACCATCAGCACAGTCATCACCACCACCAGCACAGTCATCACCACCACCAGCACAGTCATCACCACCACCAGCACAGTCATCACCACCAGCACAGTCATCACCACCATCAGCACAGTCATCGCCACCATCAGCACAGTCATCACCACCAGCACAGTCATCACCACCACCAGTACAGTCATCACCACCATCCCTACCACCACCACAGTCATCACCACCACAACACAGTCATCACCACCATCCCTACCACCACAGTCATCACCACCATCAGCACAGTCATCACCACAGTCAGCACAGTCATCACCACCACCAGCACAGTCATCACCACCACCACCACAGTCATCACCACCATCAGCCTACCATCACCACAGTCATCACAGTCATCACTACCATCACCACAGTCATCACAGTCATCACTACCAACACCACAGTCATCACCACCATCACTACCACCACCACAGTCATCACCACCATCCCTACCACCACCACAGTCATCACCACCAGCACACAGTCATCACCACCACCACACCACAGTCATCACCACCATCACTACCAACACCACAGTCATCACCACCATCCCTACCAACACCACAGTCATCACCACCATCCCTACCACCACCACAGTCATCACCACCATCCCTACCAACACCACAGTCATCACCACCATCCCTACCAACACCACAGTCATCACCACCATCCCTACCACCACCACAGTCATCACCACCATCCCTACCACCACCACAGTCATCACCACCATCCCTACCACCACCCACAGTCATCACCACCATCCCTACCACCACCACAGTCATCACCACCACCACCACAGTCATCACCACCATCCCTACCACCACCACAGTCATCACCACCATCCCTACCACCACCACAGTCATCACCACCATCACTACCAACACCACAGTCATCACCACCATCACTACCACCACCACAGTCATCACCACCATCACCTACCACCACCACAGTCATCACCACCATCACAGTCATCACCACCACCACCACAGTCATCACCACCACCATCACTACCAACACCACAGTCATCACCACCATCAGCACAGTCATCACCACCACCACAGTCATCACCACCATCACTACCATCACCACAGTCATCACCACCACCATCAGCACCAACACCACAGTCATCACCACCATCCCTACCACCACCACAGTCATCACCACCATCCCTACCACACCACAGTCATCACCACCATCCCACCACCACCACAGTCACAGTCATCACCACCACCACACAGTCATCACCACCACCACCACCACCACAGTCATCACCACCATCCCTACCACCACCACAGTCATCAGTCATCACTACCACCACCACAGTCATCACCACCATCCCTACCACCACCACAGTCATCACCACCATCCCTACCACCACCACAGTCATCACCACCATCAGTCATACCACCACCACCACAGTCATCACCACCATCACTACCACCACCACAGTCATCACCACCACCAGCACTACCAACACCACAGTCATCACCACCATCCCTACCACCACCACAGTCATCACCACCATCCCTACCACCACCACAGTCATCACCACCATCACTACCAACACCACAGTCATCACCACCATCCCTACCACCACCACAGTCATCACCACCATCACAGTCACCACCACCACCACAGTCATCACCACCACCCCTACCATCACCACCACCCACAGTCATCACCACCATCCCTACCATCACCACAGTCATCACCACCATCACTACCACCACCACAGTCATCACCACCACCTACCACCACCACAGTCATCACCACCATCACCACACCACCACAGTCATCACCACCATCACCACAGTCATCACCACCACCAGCACAATCATCAGTCACCACCAGCACAGTCATCACCACCACCGGCACAGTCATCACCACCATCAGCACAGTCATCACCACCACCAGCACAATCATCACCACCACCAGCACAGTCATCACCACCACCAGCACAGTCATCACCACCACCGGCACAGTCATCACCACCACCAGCACAATCATCACCACCATCAGCACAGTCATCACCACCACCAGCACAGTCATCACCACCACCAGCACAGTCATCACCACCACCAGCACAGTCATCACCACCACCAGCACAGTCATCACCACCACCAGCACAGTCATCACCACCACCAGCACAGTCATCACCACCACCAGCACAGTCATCACCACCACCAGCACAGTCATCACCACCAGCACAGTCATCACCACCATCACCACCACCAGCACAGTCATCACCACCATCACCACCACCAGCACAGTCATCACCACCACTAGCACAGTCATCACCACCACCAGCACAGTCATCACCACCACCAGCACAGTCATCACCACCACCAGCACAGTCATCACCACCACCAGCACAGTCATCACCACCAGCACAGTCATCACCACCAGCACAGTCATCGCCACCATCAGCACAGTCATCACCACCACCAGCACAGTCATCACCACCACCAGCACAGTCATCACCACCACCAGCACAGTCATCACCACCACCAGCACAGTCATCACCACCACCAGCACAGTCATCACCACCAGCACAGTCATCACCACCATCAGCACAGTCATCGCCACCATCAGCACAGTCATCACCACCACCAGCACAGTCATCACCACCACCAGTACAGTCATCACCACCATCACCACCACCAGCACAGTCATCACCACCACCAGCACAGTCATCACCACCACCAGCACAGTCATCACCACCACCAGCACAGTCATCACCACCACCAGCACAGTCATCACCACCACCAGCACAGTCATCACCACCACCAGCACAGTCATCACCATCACCAACCACTACCATCACAACAACCACACACCATCACCAACCACTACCATCACAACAACCACCCACCTTCACCAACCACTACCATCACAACAACCACACACCATCACCAACCACTACCATCACAACAACCACCCACCATCACCAACCACTACCATCACAACAACCACCCACCATCACCAACCACTACCATCACAACAACCACCCACCATCACCAACCACTACCATCACAACAACCACCCACCTTCACCAACCACTACCATCACAACAACCACACACCATCACCAACCACTACCATCACAACAACCACCCACCATCACCAACCACTACCATCACAACAACCACACACCTTCACCAACCACTACCATCACAACAACCACCCACCATCACCAACCACTACCATCACAACAACCACACACCATCACCAACCACTACCCCTCACAACAACCACCCACCTTCAACAACTACAACAACTCCTCCCTGCAGGTCCTGAACGTGACAGACAGAGCGGGTCTGCTGGACGACGCCTTCAACCTGGCCGGTGCGGGCTACCTGCCCTACGACACCGCCCTCTCCCTGGTGGCCTACATGAGGAGTGAGAGCCACTACATCGCCTGGAGCACCGTCACCTCTCACCTCGACCGTATGGCCAGGCTCCTCAGGACTACTAAAGTCTACCCCTACTTCAGGGTCAGTATAGTTGTGTACTGGTGTATGTTGTGTGGGGGCATTGTGTACTGGTGTATGGTGTGTGGGGGGCATTGTGTACTGGTGTATGTTGTGTGGGGGCATTGTGTACTGGTGTATGGTGTGTGGGGGGCATTGTGTACTGGTGTATGTTGTGTGGGGGCATTGTGTACTGGAGTATGGTGAGTGTGGGGGCATTGTGTACTGGTGTATGGTGTGTGGGGGCATTGTGTACTGGTGTATGTTGTGTGGGGGGCATTGTGTACTGGTGTATGGTGTGTGTGGAGGCATTGTGTACTGGTGTATGGTGAGGGGGCATTGTGTACTGGTGTATGGTGAGTGTGGGGGCATTGTGTACTGGTGTATGGTGTGGGGGGGCATTGTGTACTGGTGTATGTTGTGTGGGGGGCATTGTGTACTGGTGTATGTTGTGTGTGGGGGCATTGTGTACTGGTGTATGTTGTGTGTGGGGCATTGTGTACTGGTGTATGGTGAGGGGACATTGTGTACTGGTGTATGGTGTGTGGGGGCATTGTGTACTGGTGTATGTTGTGTGTGGGGGCATTGTGTACTGGTGTATGGTGTGTGTGGGGGCATTGTGTACTGGTGTATGGTGTGTGTGGGGGGCATTGTGTACTGGTGTATGGTGAGGGGACATTGTGTACTGGTGTATGGTGTGCGTGGGGCATTGTGTACTGGTGTATGGTGTAGGGGCATTGTGTACTGGTGTATGGTGTGTGTGGGGACATTGTGTACTGGTGTATGGTGTGTGTGGGGACATTGTGTACTGGTGTATGGTGTGTGTGGGGGAACATTGTGTACTGGTGTATGGTGTGTGGGGCATTGTGTACTGGTGTATGGTGTGTGGGGCATTGTGTACTGGTGTATGGTGTGTGGGGCATTGTGTACTGGTGTATGGTGTGTGTGGGGGAACATTGTGTACTGGTGTATGGTGTGTGTGGGGGAACATTGTGTACTGGTGTATGGTGTGTGTGGGGGAACATTGTGTACTGGTGTATGGTGTGTGTGGGGACATTGTGTACTGGTGTATGGTGTGTGTGGGGACATTGTGTACTGGTGTATGGTGTGTGTGGGGGAACATTGTGTACTGGTGTATGGTGTGTGGGGCATTGTGTACTGGTGTATGGTGTGTGGGGCATTGTGTACTGGTGTATGGTGTGTGGGGGAACATTATGTACTGGTGTATGGTGTGTGTGGGGACATTGTGTACTGGTGTATGGTGTGTGTGGCATTGTGTACTTGTGTATGGTGTGTGTGGGGACATTGTGTACTGGTGTATAGCGTGTGTGGGGGAACATTGTGTACTGGTGTGTGGTGTGTGGGGCATTGTGTACTTGTGTATGGTGTGTGTGGGGGAACATTATGTACTGGTGTATGGTGTGTGGGGGCATTGTGTACTGGTGTATGGTGTGTGTGGAGGCATTGTGTACTGGTGTATGGTGAGGGGGGGCATTGTGTACTGGTGTATGGTGTGTGTGGAGGCATTGTGTACTGGTGTATGGTGTGTGGAGGCATTGTGTACTGGTGTATGGTGTGTGGGGGCATTGTGTACTGGTGTATGGTGTGTGTGTGGAGGCATTGTGTACTGGTGTATGGTGAGGGGGGGCATTGTGTACTGGTGTATGTGTGTGTGGAGGCATTGTGTACTGGTGTATGGTGTGTGGAGGCATTGTGTACTGGTGTATGGTGTGTGGGGGCATTGTGTACTGGTGTATGGTGAGGGGGGGCATTGTGTACTGGTGTATGGTGTGTGTGGAGGCATTGTGTACTGGTGTATGGTGTGTGGAGGCATTGTGTACTGGTGTATCGTGTGTGGGGGCATTGTGTACTGGTGTATGGTGTGTGTGGAGGCATTGTGTACTGGTGTATGTTGTGTGGGGGGCATTGTGTACTGGTGTATGTTGTGTGTGGGGGCATTGTGTACTGGTGTATGTTGTGTGTGGGGCATTGTGTACTGGTGTATGGTGAGGGGACATTGTGTACTGGTGTATGGTGTGTGTGGGGCATTGTGTACTGGTGTATGGTGTAGGGGCATTGTGTACTGGTGTATGTTGTGTGTGGGGCATTGTGTACTGGTGTATGGTGTGTGTGGGGGCATTGTGTACTGGTGTATGTTGTGTGTGGGGCATTGTGTACTGGTGTATGGTGTGTGTGGGGGCATTGTGTACTGGTGTATGGTGTGTGTGGGGGAACATTGTGTACTGGTGTATGGTGTGTGTGGGGACATTGTGTACTGGTGTATGTTGTGTGTGGAACATTATGTACTTGTGTATGGTGTGTGTGGGGGCATTGTGTACTGGTGTATGGTGTAGGGGCATTGTGTACTGGTGTATGTTGTGTGTGGGGGCATTGTGTACTGGTGTATGGTGTGTGTGGGGGCATTGTGTACTGGTGTATGTTGTGTGTGGGGCATTGTGTACTGGTGTATGGTGTGTGTGGGGGCATTGTGTACTGGTGTATGGTGTGTGTGGGGGAACATTGTGTACTGGTGTATGGTGTGTGTGGGGACATTGTGTACTGGTGTATGTTGTGTGTGGAACATTATGTACTTGTGTATGGTGTGTGTGGGGGCATTGTGTACTGGTGTATGGTGTGTGTGGGGGAACATTGTGTACTGGTGTATGGTGTGTGTGGGGACATTGTGTACTGGTGTATGGTGTGTGGGGCATTGTGTACTGGTGTACGGTGTGTGGGGCATTGTGTACTGGTGTATGGTGTGTGTGGGGGAACATTATGTACTGGTGTATAGTGTGTGTGGGGGAACATTGTGTACTGGTGTATGGTGTGTGTGGGGGAACATTGTGTACTGGTGTATAGTGTGTGTGGGGGAACATTATGTACTGGTGTATGGTGTGTGGGGCATTGTGTACTGGTGTATGGTGTGTGTGGGGGAACATTATGTACTGGTGTATGGTGTGTGTGGGGACATTGTGTACTGGTGTATGGTGTGTGTGGGGACATTGTGTACTGGTGTATGGTGTGTGTGGCATTGTGTACTTGTGTATGGTGTGTGTGGGGGAACATTATGTACTGGTGTATGGTGTGTGGGGCATTGTGTACTGGTGTATGGTGTGTGTGGGGGAACATTATGTACTGGTGTATGGTGTTTGGGGACATTGTGTACTGGTGTATGGTGTGTGTGGGGGAACATTGTGTACTGGTGTATGGTGTGTGGGGGGGAACATTATGTACTGGTGTATGGTGTGTGGGGCATTGTGTACTGGTGTATGGTGTGTGTGGGGGAACATTATGTACTTGTGTATGGTGTGTGTGGGGACATTGTGTACTGGTGTATGGTGTGTGTGGGGGAACATTGTGTACTTGTGTATGGTGTGTGTGGGGACATTGTGTACTGGTGTATGGTGTGTGGGACATTATGTACTGGTGTATGGTGTGGGTGTGGGCATTGTATACTGGAGTATGGTGTGTGTGGGACATTGTGTACTGGTGTATGGTGCGGGGGGTATTATGTACTGGTGTATAGTGTGGGGGACATTGTGTACTAGTGTATGGTGTGTGGGGCATTGTGTACTGGTGTATGGTGTGTGGGGCATTGTGTACTGGTGTATAGTGCGGGGGGTATTGTGTACTGGTGTATGGTGTGGGGGACAGTGTTTACTGGTGTATGGTATGTGTGGGGACATTGTGTACTGATGTATGGCGTGTGTGGGGACATTGTGTACTGGTGTATTGTGTGTGCGAACTTTGTGTACTGGTGTATGGTGTGTGGGGGCATTGTGTACTGGTGTATGGTGTGTGTGTGGGGGCATTGTGTACTGGTGTATGGTGTGTGGGGGCATTGTGTACTGGTGTATAGTGTGTGGGGGGCATTGTGTACTGGTGTATAGTGTGGGGGGGGGGCATTGTGTACTAGTGTATGGTGTAGACCGGACCACACCTGCAGTGTAGCTGCTGTGGCAAGACACTGCCACACCTGCAGTGTAGCAGCTGTCGTCAGACACTGCCACACCTGCAGTGTAGCTGCTGTGGCCAGACACTGCCACACCTGCAGTGTAGCAGCTGTCGTCAGACACTGCCACACCTGCAGTGTAGCTGCTGTGGCCAGACACTGCCACACCTGCAGTGTAGCAGCTGTCGTCAGACACTGCCACACCTGCAGTGTAGCAGCTGTCGTCATACACTGCCACATCTGCCTCCCAACTCTCCCACAAAGCTAATCTCCAACATTACGAGTTGTCTTGAGAAGAGAGCTTCAGTAGGTGTATAACAGGGAGAGGGGAGGGCTACATGGTGGTATCAGCTAACTAAGCATAACAAGGGTTATATTATTATGGCTTTAAAACAGATCACTGCTAAATAGAACACGTGGCAATGGATACAAACAGGATTAATTTACATTCTCAAAATACTTCGATAAATATTGGATTCCAAATAATGTTGTTGATTCATGGAATACATTGTTAATTATTATATCGGACGTGAGGTAAATTTTGTCAAGCATTGGTTGGGCACATGAGTGGATGTGGTTGGGCACATGAGTGGATGTGGTTGGGCACATGAGTGGATGTGGTTGGGCACATGAGTGGATGTGGTTGGTTGGGCACATGAGTGGATGTGGTTGGGCACATGAGTGGATGTGGTTGGGCACATGAGTGGATGTGGTTGGGCACATGAGTGGATGTGGTTGGGCACATGAGTGGATGTGGTTGGGCACATGAGTGGATGTGGTTGGGCACATGAGTGGATAACAAGTGGTTGGACACATGAGTGGATGTGGTTGGGCACATGAGTGGATGTGGTTGGACACATGAGTGGATGTGGTTGGGCACATGAGTGGATGTGGTTGGGCACATGAGTGGATGTGGTTGGGCACATGAGTGGATGTGGTTGGGCACATGAGTGGATGTGGTTGGGCACATGAGTGGATGTGGTTGGGCACATGAGTGGATGTGGTTGGGCACATGAGTGGATGTGGTTGGGCACATGAGTGGATGTGGTTGGGCACATGAGTGGATGTGGTTGGGCACTTGATTGGATGTGGTTGGGTTCTGTGTATAACAAGACCTGTGTATAACAAGACCTGTGTATAACAAGTCCTGTGTATAACAAGTCCTGTGTATAACAAGTCCTGTGTATAACAAGTCTTGTGTATAACAAGTCCTGTGTATAACAAGACCTGCGTATAACAAGACCTGTGTATAACAAGACCTGTGTATAACAAGACCTGTGTATAACAAGTCCTGTGTATAACAAGTCCTGTGTATAACAAGACCTGTGTATAACAAGACCTGCGTATAACAAGACCTGTGTATAACAAGACCTGTGTATAACAAGTCCTGTGTATAACAAGACCTGTGTATAACAAGACCTGCGTATAACAAGACCTGTGTATAACAAGTCCTGTGTATAACAAGTCCTGTGTATAACAAGTCCTGTGTATAACAAGACCTGCGTATAACAAGTCCTGTATAACAAGTCCTGTATAACAAGTCCTGTGTATAACAATACCTGTGTATAACAAGACCTGTGTATAACAAGACCTGTGTATAACAAGACCTATGTATAACAAGTCCTGTGTATAACAAGTCCTGTGTATAACAAGTCCTGCGTATAACAAGTCCTGCGTATAACAAGTCCTGTGTATAACAAGACCTGCGTATAACAAGTCCTGTATAACAAGTCCTGTATAACAAGACCTGTGTATAACAAGTCCTGTATAACAAGTCCTGTGTATAACAAGTCCTGTGTATAACAAGTCCTGTATAACAAGTCCTGCGTATAACAAGTCCTGTATAACAAGACCTGTGTATAACAAGTCCTGTATAACAAGACCTGTGATGTTTCAGAGGTTCATGGTTAGACTGGTGAGCGACCACGTGGAACGCCTCGGCTGGAACGATACTGGAAGTCACTTGGAGAGGTGAGTACATGGTTCTGTTTACTGTTGAGTGAGTACATAGTCCTGTTTACTGTTGAGTGAGTATAAAGTCCTGTTTACTGTTGAGTGAGTACATAGTCCTGTTTACTGTTGAGTGAGTACATAGTCCTGTTTACTGTTGAGTGAGTATAAAGTCATGTTTACTGTTGAGTGAGTACATAGTCCTGTTTACTGTTGAGTGAGTATAAAGTCCTGTTTACTGTTGAGTGAGTACATAGTCCTGTTTACTGTTGAGTGAGTACATAGTCCTGTTTACTGTTGAGTGAGTATAAAGTCCTGTTTACTGTTGAGTGAGTACATAGTCCTGTTTACTGTTGAGTGAGTACATAGTCCTGTTTACTGTTGAGTGAGTATAAAGTCCTGTTTACTGTTGAGTGAGTACATGGTCCTGTTTACTGTTGAGTGAGTACATAGTCCTGTTTACTGTTGAGTGAGTATAAAGTCCTGTTTACTGTTGAGTGAGTACATAGTCCTGTTTACTGTTGAGTGAGTATAAAGTCCTGTTTACTGTTGAGTGAGTACATGGTCCTGTTTACTGTTGAGTGAGTACATAGTCCCGTTTACTGTTGAGTGAGTACATGGTCCTGTTTACTGTTGAGTGAGTACATAGTCCTGTTTACTGTTGAGTGAGTACATGGTCCTGTTTACTGTTGAGTGAGTACATAGTCCTGTTTACTGTTGAGTGAGTACATGGTCCTGTTTACTGTTGAGTGAGTACATGGTCCTGTTTACTGTTGAGTGAGTACATAGTCCTGTTTACTGTTGAGTGAGTACAAAGTCCTGTTACTGTTGAGTGAGTACATGGTCCTGTTTACTGTTGAGTGAGTACATAGTCCTGTTTACTGTTGAGTGAGTACATGGTCCTGTTTACTGTTGAGTGAGTACATAGTCCTGTTTACTGTTGAGTGAGTACATGGTCCTGTTTACTGTTGAGTGAGTACATGGTCCTGTTTACTGTTGAGTGAGTACATAGTCCTGTTTACTGTTGAGTGAGTACATGGTCCTGTTTACTGTTGAGTGAGTACATGGTCCTGTTTACTGTTGAGTGAGTACATAGTCCTGTTTACTGTTGAGTGAGTACAAAGTCCTGTTTACTGTTGAATGAGTACATGGTCCTGTTTACTGTTGTGTGAGTACATGGTGACGTGGCTGTTGTTTAGAGCGGCCCGCAGCCTCACATATCCACTACAGCCTGGTTGGTCCGGCACTTCTTGCAAGCACTTATGTAAGTGCGTCTTGAAGACTTCCACATTTGTCCCAACAATATTTTTAACGTTTGCTGGGAGGGAGTTGAACACCTGTGGACCTCTGATGTTCAGTGTTCTCTGATTGTATCTATGGCACCTCTGCTCTTCATTGGTTCGATTCGGCATTTCCTTCTGTATCTTTCGTTCCAGTATCTTGTTATTCTGCTGTGCAGATTTGGGACCTGGCCTTCAAGTATCTTCCATGTATACTGTTTCATACCTCTCTCGCCTCCTTTCCAGAGAGTACATTTTGAGAGCTTTGAGACGGTCCTAATAATTTTAATGTTTTATCGTGTCTATGTGTGTCGTATATGTTCTCTGTATTCCCTCTAATTCAGAGATCTGTCCCACTCTGAAAGCGGAAATAAGTACCGTGCAATAATCAAGAAGGGACAGCACCAGTTATTACAGCTCGGTTATGTTCACTAAATGTCAGGTCGTCAGAAATCATATTTCCCAGATCTTTTACGTGTTGCTTTCCTTCTAGGACTGTGTCTGCTTGTGTCCTGTACCCTGTGTCCTGTACCCTGTGTCCTGTACCCTGTACCCTGTGTCCTGTACCCTGTGTCCTGTACCCTGTGTCCTGTACCCTGTGTCCTGTACCCTGTGTCCTGTACCCTGTGTCCTGTACCCTGTGTCCTGTACCCTGTGTCCTGTACCCTGTGTCCTGTGCCCTGTGTCCTGTCCTGTACCCTGTGTCCTGTACCCTGTGTCCTGTACCCTGTGTCCTGTACCCTGTGTCCTGTACCCTGTGTCCTGTACCCTGTGTCCTGCACCCTGTGTCCTGTACCCTGTGTCCTGTGCCCTGTGTCCTGTGCCCTGTACCCTGTGTCCTGTACCCTGTGTCCTGTACCCTGTGTCCTGTGCCCTGTGTTCTGTGCCCTGTACCCTGTGTCCTGTACCCTGTGTCCTGTACCCTGTGTCCTGTACCCTGTGTCCTGTACCCTGTGTCCTGTACCCTGTGTTTCGTTTACCTTCCTCGTGTCCATCATTCCTTGGTACCTGGAACTTGTCACCATTAAACATCAGGTTGTTTTCAGTTGCCAAATCGAAGACCTTATTTATATCTGCCTGCAGTTTTTCAGTGTCTTCTACGCATGAAATTTTCATGCTGATTTTTTTATCATCTGTAAAGGATGACACGAAGCTGTGACTAGTATTTCTCTCTATATCCGAAATAAGATTGATAAATAACAGCGGTGCCAGGACTGTGCCCTGGGATACAGAGCTTTTCACTGCACTTGGGCTTCATCTTACTTGATTGACCGTCATTCTCTACATTCTGTTTGATACAAAGTTGAAAATCCAAAACCCCACTTTACCCGTCGTTTATCTAGTAAAGCATCAACGAGAATATCTAGTAAAGCATCAACGAGAATATCTAGTAAACCATCAACGAGAATGTTCTCTGATGTCATCAGTTACGTGTCCAACGATCTGGTGATGTCAAAAGGTTTCTTTCACTTCAATAGTTCCCTATATCGACCATGCCTCCTTCGGCAGCCTATGTTGATCTGCGGTTGCCATTTGTTTTGGGTGAAGTGATATGACACAAATGTTTTGGGTGAGGTGGGTATTAATTGGGGGCATGAAAGGCATACGAATGAAAGTAACTGCAGAAGGAGTATTGGCCCACACTTTCTCTTGCTGTTCTTATGTTGGGTCGGCGTCTTGGAGTGGGTAGAATATAGTTACGCGTAATTGACTGTTGATTGCTGGTGTTGACTTTTTGATGTGTAGTGCCTCGCTCATGTCGAGCCTCCTGCTATCGCTGTATCTATCCATGATTTCTGTGTTGTTTGTTAAAGCTGTTAAGGTTGTTTGTTAAGACCATCGCCAAAGAAATCGTGACCAACAACACACACACACACACACACACACACACACACACACACACACACACACACACACACACACACACACACACACACACACACACACACACACACACACACACACACACACACACATGTGTATGCGGCACCAGCATGGAGCCCGTACCTTGCCAAGCACAAGACGAAGTTGGAAAAAGTCCAAAGGTATGCCACTAGACTAGTCCCAGAACTAAGAGGCATGAGTTACGAGGAAAGGCTGCGGGAAATGCACCTTACGACACTGGAAGACAGAAGAGTAAGGGGAGACATGATCACAACCTACAAAATCCTCAGAGGAATCGACCGGCTAAACAAGGATGAACTATTCAACACTGGTGGGACGCGAACAAGGGGACACAGGTGGAAACTGAGTATCCACATGAGCCACAGAGACGTTAGAAGGAACTTTTTCAGTGTCAGAGTAGTTAACGGATGGAATGCATTAGGCAGTGATGTGGTGGAGGCTGACTCCATACAGAGTTTTAAATGTAGATATGATAGAGCCCAGTTGGCTCAGGAATCTGTACACCAGTTGATTGACAGTTGAGAGGCGGGACCAAAGAGCCAAAGCTCAACCCCCGCAAGCACAAATAGGTGAGTACAAATAGGTGAGTACACACACACACACACAAAGGGCTGGCGTACCGAAAGGGAAACTATGAGGAGATGAATAAATTCTTATGGGATATACATTGGGACACAGAACTCGGAACCAAGTCCGTACAAGACATGATGGACTATGTCACCCAAAAATGTCAGGAGGCTGTAAGCAGGTTTGTCCCAGCCCCACAGGAAAAAACAGAGAAGCAAAGGAAGAATCCGTGGTTTAATAGGGAATGTATGAAAGCAAAGGAGCTGAACAAAAGGGCATGGAGGAACTTCCGTAATAACAGAACACCAGAAAGCAAAGAGAGAGATACCAGAGAACCAGGAACGAGTATGTTAGTGTGAGAAGAGCAGCTGAGAAAAGGTATGAAAATGATATAGCTAATAAAGCCAAGACCGAACCAAAGCTACTACACAGTCACATCAGGAGGAAGACAACAGTGAAGGAACAGGTGATGAAACTTAGGTTAGGCGAGGACAGGTACACAGAGAATGACAAAGAGGTGTGTGAAGAACTTAACAAAAGGTTCCAGGAGGTCTTTACAATAGAACAGGGAGAAGTCACGGCGCTAGGAGAGGTGGCAGCAAACCAGGTGACCTTGGAAAGGTTCGAAATTACAAGAGATGAGGTCAAGAAGCACCTATTGGAGCTGGATGTGAGAAAAGCTGTTGGGCCGGATGGAATCTCACCATGGGTATTGAAAGAGTGTGCAGGAGCACTTTGCTTGCCACTCTCCATAGTGTATAGTAGGTCACTGGAAACGGGAGACCTACCAGAAATATGGAAGACTGCTAATGTAGCACCAATATTTAAAAAGGGTGACAGACAAGAGGCACTGAACTACAGGCCAGTGTCCTTAACTTGTATACCATGCAAGGTGATGGAGAAGATTGTGAGAAAAAAACCTAGTAACACATCTGGAGAGAAGAGACTTCGTGACAACCCATCAACATGGGTTCAGGGAGGGTAAATCTTGCCTTACAGGCTTGATAGAATTCTATGATCAGGTGACAAAGATTAAACAAGAAAGAGAAGGATGGGCGGACTGCATTTGTTTGGACTGTCGGAAAGCCTTTGACACAGTACCCCATAAAAGGTTGATGCGTAAGCTGGAGAAACAGGCAGGAGTAACTGGTAGGGCGCTCCAGTGGATAAGAGAGTACCTAAGCAATAGGAAGCAGAGAGTTATAGTGAGGGGTGAGACCTCAGAATGGCGTGAAGTCACCAGTGGAGTCCCACAGGGCTCTGTGTTTGGATCTATCCTGTTTCTGATATACGTAAATGATCTCCCATAGGGTATAGACTCATTCCTCTCAATGTTTTCTGACGACGCCAAAATTATGAGAAGGATTAAGACAGAGGAGGACAGCTTGAGGCTTCAAGAAGACCTGGACAAGCTGCAGGAATGGTCGAACAAATGGATGTTAGAGTTTAGCCCAAGCAAATGTAATGTAATGAAGATAGGGGTAGGAAGCAGGAGACCAGATACAAGGTATCATTTGGGAGATGAAATACTTCAAGAGTCAGAGAGAGAGAAAGACCTGGGGGTTGATATCAGGCCAGACCTGTCCCCTGCAGCTCATATCAAGAGGATAACATCAGCAGCATATGCCAGGTTGGCTAACATAAGAACGGCCTTTAGAAACTTGTGTAAGGAATCTTTCAGAACATTATATACCACATATGTCAGACCAATCCTGGAGTATGCGGCTCCAGCATGGAGACCATATCTAGTCAAGCATGTGACTAAACTGGAAAAGGTTCAAAGGTTTGCCACCAAACTAGTACCCGAGCTGAGAGGTATGAGCTACGAGGAGAGACTACGGGAATTGAACCTCACTTCGTTAGAAGACAGAAGAGTTAGGGGGGGACATGATCACCACATTCAAGATTCTCAAGGGAATCGACAGGGTTGATAAAGACAGGCTATTTAACACAAGGGGCACACGCACTAGGGGACACAGGTGGAAACTGAGTGCCCAAATGAGCCACAGAGATATTAGAAAGAACTTATTTAGTGTCAGGGTGGTTGACAAATGGAATGCATTAGGAAGTAATGTGGTGGAGGCTGACTCCATACACAGTTTCAAGTGTAGATATGATAGAGCCCAATAGGCTCAGGAACCTGTACACCTGTTGATTGACGGTTGAGAGGCGGGACCAAAGAGCCAGAGCTCAAGCCCCGCAACTAGGTGAGTACAACTAGGTGAGTATACACACATACACACACACACACACACACACACACACACACACACACACACACACACACACACACACACACACACACACATACACACACACACACATACACACACACACACACACACATACACACACACACACATACACACACACACACATATATATATATATATATAACTGAAAACTCACACCCCAGAAGTGACTCGAACCCATACTCCCAGAAGCAACGCAACTGGTATGTACAAGACGCCTTAATCCACTTGACCATCACGACCGGACATAATGAGGTGATAGCCGAGGCTATATGAACCACCCCACCGCCGGCACTCGGATAGTTATCTTGGGCATAGCATTTTACCAAATCACCTCATTCTTTGGGGCACACGTGAGGAACACAAATGCGAACAAGCCTGAATGGTCCCCAGGACATATGCAACTGAAAACTCACACCCCAGAAGTGACTCGAACCCATACTCCCAGAAGCAACGCAACTGGTATGTACAAGACGCCTTAATCCACTTGACCATCACGACCGGACATAATGAGGTGATAGCCGAGGCTATATGAACCACCCCACCGCCGGCACTCGGATAGTTATCTTGGGCATAGCATTTTACCAAATCACCTCATTCTTTGGGGCACACGTGAGGAACACAAATGCGAACAAGCCTGAATGGTCCCCAGGACATATGCAACTGAAAACTCGCACCCCAGAAGTGACTCGAACCCATACTCCCAGAAGCAACGCAACTGGTATGTACAAGACGCCTTAATCCACTTGACCATCCGGTCGTGATGGTCAAGTGGATTAAGGCGTCTTGTACATACCAGTTGCGTTGCTTCTGGGAGTATGGGTTCGAGTCACTTCTGGGGTGTGAGTTTTCAGTTGCATATGTCCTGGGGACCATTCAGGCTTGTTCGCATTTGTGTTCCTCACGTGTGCCCCAAAGAATGAGGTGATTTGGTAAAATGCTATGCCCAAGATAACTATCCGAGTGCCGGAGGTGGGGTGGTTCATATAGCCTCGGCTATCACCTCATTATGTCCGGTCGTGATGGTCAAGTGGATTAAGGCGTCTTGTACATACCAGTTGCGTTGCTTCTGGGAGTATGGGCTCGAGTCACTTCTGGGGTGTGAGTTTTCAGTTGCATATGTCCTGGGGACCATTCAGGCTTGTTCGCATATATATATATATATATATATTATGAGACTTGCATGGGCCAATAGGCCTTCTGCCGGATACCTTCATTCTTGTTTTTATGAAATGAAGTAAATATAATTATTAGTTAGAATGTGCTAGTGGTTGTTATACAATGTATGATGAAGTAGTTGTGAGTTACGAGGACTACCTTCTCCCCCCCCCCCAGGCGCAACCGGTTGGTGCTGATGTATCTGGCCTGCAGTAACGGGTACCAGCCGTGTCTGGAGGGCGCCTACCAGCGCCTGCTAGCATGGATTAGGGATCCGGACTACTTCATCCCTCCCAACACTCGCTCCCTCGTCTACCGCTTTGGCATGCAGAAGGCTGGTGAGTCCCACACCTGGTGAGTCCCACACCTGGTGAGTCCCACACCTGGTGAGTCCCACACCTGGTGAGTCCCACACCTGGTGAGTCCCACACCTGGTGAGTCCCACAACTGGTGAGTCCCACACCTGGTGAGTCTTACACCTGGTGAGTGTAGAATGTTCAGGAGAGGAAGCTCCAGCTCTTGGCCCCACCTTTTACCTACATATTGTCTGAAACAGCGCCTGCCGACCCCCTGTCGGTCTATCCTCCCTACACCTATAGTAATGCCTTTAGACCTTCTTCTGAAGCTCCTTCCACCTGTTGCCTCTTATAACCCTGGTAACTGTGCCGCGCTGCAGAGTATAATATATAGTGTATATTATAATATTATGCCACTCTCTGCCAGGTATATAATATAAGGTATATTATACTACTCTATACTTGGTATGATATATAAGGTATTATACCACTCTATGCCTTGTATGATATATAAGGTATTATACGTCTATGCCTGGTATAATATATAAGATATTATACCACTCTCTGCATAGTATAATATATATATATATATATATATATATATATATATATATATATATATATATATATATATATATATATATATATATATATAAGGTATTATACCTCGCTATGCCTGGAATAATATATATAAGGTATTATATCACTCTCTGCCTGGTATAATATATAATTATAGAGAGAGGAATGTTACCTTGGTGAATGTTACCTTGGTGAAATGCTTGGTGAATGTTGCCGTGAATGTTACCTTGGTGAATGTTACCTTGGTGAATGTTACCTTGGTGAATGTTGCTTGGTGAATGTTACCTTGGTGAATGTTACCTTGGTGAATGTTACCTTGGGGAATGTTGCCTGGGGGGAATGTTTACCTTGTGAATGTTACCTTGGTGAATGTTACCTTGGTGAATGTTACCTTGAAGAATGTTACAGTTTGGTGGGGATGTTACCTTGGTGGTGGATGGTACCTTGGTGGATGTTACCTTGGTGGGGATGTTACCTGGGGGGAATGTTACCTTGGTGGGAATGTTTACCTTGGTGGGAATGTACCCTTGGTGGGACCTTTCCTTGGTGGGAATGTTGCCTTGGTGGGGATGTTACCTTGGTGGGGATGTTACCTTGTGGGGAATGTTACCTTGGGGGGATGTTACCTTGGTGGAATGTTACCTTGGTGGGAATGTTACCTTGGTGGGGATGTTACCTTGGTGGAGATGTTACCTTGGTGGAGATGTTACCTTGGTGGGGATGTTACCTTGGTGGGGAATGTTACCTTGGTGGGAATGTTACCTTGGTGGGAATGTTACCTTGGTGGGAATGTTACCTTGGTGGGAATGTTACCTTGGTGGGGATGTTACCTTGGTGGGGATGTTACCTTGGTGGGATGTTACCTTGGTGGGGATGTTACCTTGGTGGGGATGTTACCTTGGTGGGGATGTTACCTTGGTGGGGATGTTACCTTGGTGGAGATGTTGCCTTGGTGAATGTTACTTGGTGGGAATGTTACCTTGGTGGGGATGTTACCTTGGTGGGGATGTTGCCTTGGTGGGGATGTTACCTTGGTGGGGATGTTACCTTGGTGGGAATGTTACCTTGGTGGAGATGTTACCTTGGTGGGAATGTTACCTTGGTGGAGATGTTCCTTGTGGGAATGTTACCTTGGGGAATGTTACCTTGGTGGGAATGTTACCTTGGTGGGAATGTTACCTTTGGGGAATGTTACCTTGGTGAATGTTACCTTGGTGAATGTTACCTTGGTGGGAATGTTACCTTGGTGGAGATGTTACCTTGGTGAATGTTGCCTTGGTGAATGTTACCTTGGTGGGAATGTTACCTTGGTGGGGATGTTACCTTGGTGGGAATGTTACCTTGGTGGAGATGTTACCTTGGTGGAATGTTACCTTGGTGGAGATGTTACCTTGGTGGGAATGTTACCTTGGTGGGAATGTTACCTTGGTGGGAATGTTACCTTGGTGGGGATGTTACCTTGGTGAATGTTACCTTGGTGGAATGTTACCTTGGTGGAATGTTACCTTGGTGGAATGTTACCTTGGTGGAATGTTACCTTGGTGGGAATGTTACCTTGGTGGGGATGTTACCTTGGTGGGAATGTTACCTTGATGGGAATGTTACCTTGGTGGGGATGTTACCTTGGTGGGAATGTTACCTTGGTGGGAATGTTACCTTGAAGATGTTACCTTGGTGGGGATGTTACCTTGGTGGGGATGTTACCTTGGTGGGGTTGCCTTGGTGGGAATGTTACCTTGGTGGGGATGTTACCTTGGTGGGAATGTTACCTTGGGTGGGGATGTTACCTTGGTGGGGATGTTACCTTGGTGGGGATGTTACCTTGGTGGGGATGTTACCTTGGTGGGAATGTTACCTTGGTGGGAATGTTACCTTGGTGGGAATGTTACCTTGGTGGGAATGTTACCTTGGTGGATGTTACCTTGGTGGGGATGTTACCTTGGTGAATGTTACCTTGGTGAATGTTACCTTGGTGAATGTTACCTTGGTGAATGTTACCTTGGTGAATGTTACCTTGGTGGGAATGTTACCTTGGTGAATGTTACCTTGGTGAATGTTACCTTGGTGAATGTTACCTTGGTGAATGTTACCTTGGTGAATGTTACCTTGGTGAATGTTACCTTGGTGAATGTTACCTTGGTGAATGTTACCTTGGTGAATGTTACCTTGGTGAATGTTACCTTGGTGAATGTTACCTTGGTGAATGTTACCTTGGTGAATGTTACCTTGGTGAATGTTACCTTGGTGAATGTTACCTTGGTGAATGTTACCTTGGTGAATGTTACCTTGGTGAATGTTACCTTGGTGAATGTTACCTTGGTGAATGTTACCTTGGTGAATGTTACCTTGGTGAATGTTACCTTGGTGAATGTTACCTTGGTGAATGTTACCTTGGTGAATGTTACCTTGGTGAATGTTACCTTGGTGAATGTTACCTTGGTGGTGAATGTTACCTTTGGTGAATGTTACCTTGGTGAATGTTACCTTGGTGAATGTTACCTTGGTGAATGTTACCTTGGTGAATGTTGCCTTGGTGAATGTTACCTTGGTGAATGTTACCTTGGTGAATGTTACCTTGGTGAATGTTGCCTTGGTGAATGTTACCTTGGTGAATGTTACCTTGGTGAATGTTGCCTTGGTGAATGTTACCTTGGTGAATGTTACCTTGGTGAATGTTGCCTTGGTGAATGTTACCTTGGTGAATGTTACCTTGGTGAATGTTAATGTTACCTTGGTGAATGTTACCTTGGTGAATGTTGCCTTGGTGAATGTTACCTTGGTGAATGTTACCTTGGTGAATGTTACCTTGGTGAATGTTACCTTGGTGAATGTTGCCTTGGGGAATGTTACCTTGGTGAATGTTACCTTGGTGAATGTTACCTTGGTGAATGTTACCTTGGTGAATGTTACCTTGGTGAATGTTACCTTGGTGAATGTTGCCTTGGTGAATGTTACCTTGGTTACCTTGGTGAATGTTACCTTGGTGAATGTTGCCTTGGTGAATGTTACCTTGGTGAATGTTACCTTGGAATGTTGCCTTGGTGAATGTTACCTTGGTGAATGTTACCTTGGTGAATGTTACCTTGGTGGGGAATGTTACCTTGGTGAATGTTACCTTGGTGAATGTTACCTTGGTGAATGTTACCTTGGTGAATGTTACCTTGGTGAATGTTACCTTGGTGAATGTTACCTTGGTGAATGTTGCCTTGGTGAATGTTACCTTGGTGAATGTTACCTTGGTGAATGTTACCTTGGTGAATGTTACCTTGGTGAATGTTAATGTTACCTTGGTGAATGTTACCTTGGTGAATGTTACCTTGGTTGAAATGTTACCTTGGTGGTGAATGTTACCTTGGGGAATGTTACCTTGGTGAATGTTACCTTGGTGAATGTTGCCTTGAATGTTACCTTGGGGAATGTTACCTTGGTGAATGTTACCTTGGTGAATGTTACCTTGGTGAATGTTACCTTGGTGAATGTTACCTTGGGGAATGTTACCTTGGGAATGTTACCTTGGTGAATGTTACCTGAATGGTGAATGTTACCTTGGTGAATGTTACCTTGAATGTTACCTTGAATGTTACCTTGGTGAATGTTACCTTGGTGAATGTTACCTTGGTGGGGAATGTTACCTTGGTGAACCTTGGTGAATGTTACCTTGGGGAATGTTACCTTGAATGTTACCTTGGTGAATGTTACCTTGGTGAACCTTGGGGAATGTTACCTTGGGAATGTTACCTTGGTGAATGTTACCTTGGTGAATGTTACCTTGGGGAATGGTGAATGTTACCTTTGAACCTTGAATGTTACCTTGGGAATGTTACCTTGGTGAATGTTACCTGAATGGCCTTGGGGAATGTTACCTTGGTGAATGTTACCTTGGTGAATGTTACCTTGGTGAATGTTACCTTGGGGAATGTTACCTTGGGGAATGTTACCTTGGTGAATGTTACCTTGGTGAATGTTACCTTGGGGAATGTTACCTTGGTGAATGTTACCTTGGTGAATGTTACCTTGGTGAATGTTACCTTGGTGAATGTTACCTTGGTGAATGTTACCTTGGGGAATGTTACCTTGGGGAATGTTACCTTGGTGAATGTTACCTTGGTGAATGTTACCTTGGTGAATGTTACCTTGGTGAATGTTACCTTGGTGAATGTTACCTTGGGGAATGTTACCTTGGTGAATGTTACCTTGGTGAATGTTACCTTGGTGAATGTTACCTTGGTGAATGTTACCTTGGTGAATGTTACCTTGGGAATGTTACCTTGGGGAATGTTACCTTGGGGAATGTTACCTTGGTGAATGTTACCTTAATGTTACCTTGGTGAATGTTACCTTGGGGAATGTTACCTTGGGGAATGTTACCTTGGTGAATGTTACCTTGGTGAATGTTACCTTGGTGGTTACCTTGGTGAATGTTACCTTGGGGAATGTTACCTTGGTGAATGTTACCTTGGGGAATGTTACCTTGGTGAATGTTACCTTGGGGAATGTTACCTTGGTGAATGTTACCTTGGTGAATGTTACCTTGGGGAATGTTACCTTGGGGTTACCTAGGGTGAATGTTACCTTGTGAATGTTACCTTACCTTGGGGAATGTTACCTTGGGGAATGTTACCTTGGTGAATGTTACCTTGGTGAATGTTACCTTGGTGAATGTTACCTTGGTGAATGTTACCTTGGGGAATGTTACCTTGGGGAATGTTACCTTGGGGAATGTTACCTTGGGGAATGTTACCTTGGTGAATGTTACCTTGGGGAATGTTACCTTGGTGAATGTTACCTTGGTGAATGTTACCTTGGGGAATGTTACCTTGGGAATGTTACCTTGGTGAATGTTACCTTGGGGAATGTTACCTTGGGAATGTTACCTTGGGGAATGTTACCTTGGTGAATGTTACCTTGGTGAATGTTACCTTGGGGTGAATGTTACCTTGGTGAATGTTACCTTGGTGAATGTTACCTTGGGGAATGTTACCTTGGTGAATGTTACCTTGGGGAATGTTACCTTGGGGAATGTTACCTTGGTGAATGTTACCTTGGTGAATGTTACCTTGGGGAATGTTACCTTGGTGAATGTTACCTTGGGGAATGTTACCTTGGTGAATGTTACCTTGGTGAATGTTACCTTGGTGAATGTTACCTTGGTGAATGTTACCTTGGTGAATGTTACCTTGGTGAATGTTACCTTGGTGAATGTTACCTTGGGGAATGTTACCTTGGGGAATGTTACCTTGGTGAATGTTACCTTGGGGAATGTTACCTTGGGGAATGTTACCTTGGGGAATGTTACCTTGGTGAATGTTACCTTGGATGAGCTATAAACCTTTCCCAGGAATGGAATACCTCCTAGGAATAACTAGGCGTGACCTAGGAATAACTAGGCGTGACCTAGGAATAACTAGGCGTGACCTAGGAATAACTAGGCGTGACCTAGGAATAACTAGGTGTGACCTAGGAATAACTAGGTGTGACCTAAGAATAACTAGGTGTGACCTAGGAATAACTAGGTGTGACCTAGGAATAACTAGGTGTGACCTAGGAATAACTAGGTGTGACCTAGGAATAACTAGGCGTGACCTAGGAATAACTAGGTGTGACCTAGGAATAACTAGGTGTGACCTAGGATAACTAGGTGTGACCTAGGAATAACTAGGTGTGACCTAGGAATAACTAGGTGTGACCTAGGAATAACTAGGTGTGACCTAGGAATAACTAGGTGTGACCTAGGAATAACTAGGTGTGACCTAGGAATAACTAGGTGTGACCTAGGAATAACTAGGTGTGACCTAGGAATAACTAGGTGTGACCTAGGAATAACTAGGTGTGACCTAGGAATAACTAGGTGTGACCTAGGAATAACTAGGTGTGACCTAGGAATAACTAGGCGTGTATTGTGAGAGACCTGAGCTAGAGATATGAGGTGAAGGGAGACTCACCCGCCGCCTGGGTGACCATAGGTGAATTCTTGAGGTGACTCTCAGGTGTACAAGACACCAAGGAAGACCAGTGTGGTATGACCACACCCCATAATTCAATACACTAACAACCACAAGTTGACATTGACAACCACAAGTTGACATTGAATGTGCTTTCAGAATGAGACAAATTAGAAGCAAAATAAAAAATCAGAAATATTGAGGCAGAGGCAGGAGTGGCGAGGAGAGGTATAGTGTATGAGGGAAGTCTAACCTTGCAACACTACATGTGTGTGAGCCAAAACACACATTTCACTTATGGTAAAAGGAGAAATGCTTGGAGTGACTCTATGCACATGCGGCTCAGGCTTGGGTACAAATATTACTGGGAATATGGAACAGGTGTTTATGATAATGACACGAAGTGTAAACTATGTGTTATGTTAAGGTCTCACACCCTTGCCCATTATGTTCTTGATTGTCCGTTGATTAATGTATATAGAAACACTGAGATAAGAACTGTTCCTGAACAAATAGCCTGGCTGTGTCACAGCGGAAAAATTTATGATATTCTGGAGAGATATAAGAATTTCGCACCGAGATTGTAACCTTTTGTTGAATTGTCTCATGTCTATTGCAAATTGTCAATATACCTAGTTATCAAAGTATTTGTGTGAACATCTGGTAACATAGTACATTTGTAAAGTAAGAAATGTATATATGTTTATCTCTCAGAATGTCGGTAATATGTTAATTGTTTGTGATGTGTGTCTATATATGTATGAACACGTTGTACTGAACGGGGTGAGAATAGCTTGAGCTACCTCATCACTGTGTGTATTTATACCTCAATAATCATATTTCAATTTCAATTTAAATTTCAATCAGGCGAGGTATACGCAGCCTACCGCTCGAGTGTAGCTTCAGTATTCCCCCCTTACTACTGATATATTCACCCTCAAGATAGCACTCAGATAACAACCCGTCCTCTTAACAAGACTTCGCATTTTGACGTATATTCTCCTTAAGGCCAAAAATCGTGTGACTAGAAAAAGGTTATTTCGCTTCAGTATAGTGGCTTGTGAAATTGACGTACTGTCCCGTTTTCTGTTTTGCATCCTCTGGTAGGTTAGGATAAGGGCACTTTATTACGACAGTTTCTCGACGTTGGGACACCTTAGGAAGCCGGGCTGCAGATACAGTGACGATTGTTGAACGTGAAACATTCATTAGAAAATTACCGGAAAGTACTGTTGGAAATCTCCGGTGAGAGAGTAAACATTAGGGGAGTTAAGAGGGAAAAGCTTTTCCACTAAGAATGCAAGATTTCTGGGATTAAAATACAACAAATACAACAGGAGAAACATTTAATATTAGCGAATCAGAGATGAGTGAATACATCAAATTCGTTATTCATAGGGTTTGAGCTTGATGGAGGTTGTCCACTGAGAACAGCATGAGAGCCACTGGGGGCCAAGATGCAGGTCTTGCAGCCACAAGTCCTGGTGTTGTAAAGCTGCTCGCTTCATATACCACCTATTCACCACGGAAAGTCCACGTTGCTATTCCAGGCAAACCAGCAGGAACTGGAGACTCAGAGCCCAAACACCTCTCACCATAGTCATATTTTTAACTGTTTTAAATAATGTCATTCACTGTTGGATCTGTCATTGAAGGTACATAACAGTCACTACAGTAACTGTGGACCAGATACCCACTTCATTAATTGTGGACAAGGTACCAGGCCTCGTTACCAGTGTCAACCGGTAGTCTACGAGTACAAGACAAGGTACCAGGCCTCGTTACCAGTGTCAACTGGTAGTCTACGAGTACAAGACAAGGTACCAGGCCTCGTTACCAGTGTCAACCGGTAGTCTACGAGTACAAGACAAGGTACCAGGCCTCGTTACCAGTGTCACGCAGGATTATATACCATTACTGTACTTGGTAAGGTAACATTCTGATAACGTTGCAGGGGCGGAGGAGTGGGAAAAGGTGCTGGCTCGCTACATCAACGAGACCAACGCTCAGGAGAAGACCAAACTGGCCCTCGGTCTAGCCAGCACTAAAGAGGATTGGATAACGCAAAGGTAAGATAGCCAATCACCTGTATCCCCACACCTGGAAGAATGGAGTTGGGGTGGTTGGTGGAGTTGAGGTGGCTGGTGGAGTTGGGGTGGCTGGTGGAGTTGAGGTTCAGGTAGATTGTGATAGACGATTTGAATGACGATGATGTTGGATGAATCGATTGGTATTAGGGTTGAGAGATTGAGTAGATAATAAGATTTAATGATTTGGTAGATGATAGGCCTGGAAGATTGGGTAGATTATAGGGTTGAAATATTGGTTAGATGAGAGAATTGAAAGGCTTGGTAGGTGATAGTGTTTAAAAACTGGATAGAAGATAGGATTGACAGATTTTGTATATGATATCTTTGAGAGATTGGGCAGATGATTGATTTGTTAAAACAGGGTAGGTGATGGGGGTTGAGATAATTGGTAGATTGTGTGGTATAAAGATTTGGTAGATTATAAGGTTGAAAATTGGGTATATTACAGAGTTTAATAATTGGGTAGACTATAGTTGAAAGATCTGGTAGATTATAGGGTTCAAGGATTGGGTAGTTAATGTGGTTGAAAGATTGCGTAAGTGAAAGGTTGAAAGATTAGGTAGAGTATAGGTGTTACAAGATTGATTATATTATAGGGTTGAATGGTGGGTATATGACTGGGTATATCGTACTAGGGCAAGACTGAGTAGGTGATACTTAGAAGGATTGGGTAGATGATGGGATTCAGATTGGGTTGAAGGTGGTACTGAAGCACTGAATTCCTTACTACCTGACCAGTTGTGTTGTCATGAGGGATCTGACCCTCACTTCTGTATGTGGTGAGTCATGTATGTGATGAGAGGGAGTGATGAGAGTGAGTTATGAATGAGAGGGAGTGATGAGTGAGAGGAAGTGATGAGTGAGAGGGAGTTATGAGTGAGAGGGAGTTATGAGTGAGAGGGAGTTATGAGTGAGAGGGAGTTATGAGTGAGAGGTGAGGGGAAAACTGCCGGGATTGATCGGAGAGGAGAACTACTAGGGAATTGTACTGAACTAAAATTAAAAATTTACTGTATGCAAAATTAATTCAACTAAAGTCTCTTGCTAGGGTTGTAAGTCCTACCTCCTCTTTTCCTAATGACAGACTGTGGGCTATAAGGGGCAGGTGGGGGTGAATGAAGAGGCTGATTGAAGCTCCACAATCCACCTGCAGGCAATTATCTCACATCAGCTTGTATTTTTAATACAAGGATAAGATTTTAATAAATTCCGTTCTATGACTGAACACTGGTTCTGTTTAAATCAGGGGTTTAAACATGTACATAGTCCAGCTTAGCACCATAACTATCAACAGCCAATATTCATTTACTATAAACCCAACAATTTAAATTGTAGAAGTATGATATTAAATGGCCTTAAATCTAGTCTAAATACTAGTTAACTAAGGACTAAAGATTATATTCAATAGGTTAAACTTATATGATTAATTAAAGATAATGAAGCAAGCAATTGTTAATTTATATGTTCAAGGATATATATAGATATAGATATATTCAATTTATATGAAGAGGTTCAGTTAGCTCAACTGAAACTCTTCCCAGACTAAGGACACCTATGAACCAGTGAACCTCACGAGTGTCGAGAGTCCTGGTAAAGATTCAGTTGCTGTAAGATTAATTAATGAATGCTCACTGAAATATGAGGCGTTGCCTCACCCTATAACCGACAGACAGACTTATTGGATATATTAAAGTTATACAAGCATATAATTGACAAATTAATATGCTAAATAACATTCAATATACTTCTCTGAATGCCGGGTGCCTGTCTGACATGTGTGCCAGACCGTTCCTAAACTCTTGTCGAGTTCAGGAACAGTATTTTATGTAATAGCCTTGCTGTATAATGTTCTAGTAGCGTTGTTAATTGATTATGTCCTTAATTGCGGTTGCAATAGGTTAGATAAGTGATGATAGTAAAGGTGGAGAGAGTGTCACTTTGTGTGCTCCACTCTACACTCTTATATAGAAATATTCTAGGAATTTTTCCTTGTTGATATATTGTCCAAGTACTCCTCCAGTTCTAGAGAGTAATCACTGGTGATAAAGATAATTGGATAAGGTGTCCTAAGCTGAATAATTGTTCGCAAGGCACCATCACACATTTTCGCTGTTATGTAAACACACGTGTTCTGCCTCGGGGCGTGGTGGGCACTCCTCTTCCAGCCATCGTCCCCCCCATGCTCCCTGAGCAAGATAGCCTTGAATGAATATTGATTGATTATTTTTACTGTCTAGACATATAATTGAGATCAGATATGATTATAATATAATTAGATATAGGATTTAAAGATTACAAGTAGTACTTGCCTGCACTATTGATTCTTATTAAGGATTTGATTTAATCCCTACTGGAAATTGATTCAATAGTTCCAGTAGTTTTTTTAATTAAGAAATCCTTCTAGAAGCTTCTGGATCCTTGAGAAATTATGCACAAAGTCACGTAGGCAACCAAGGGCTCTATGGTCATACGTGATCATAGGTGGCATTGTCTTGTAGGATTCAGATATATAATGAATCTGTAGTGATTGTGATATGATTTTGTTATGATTTAGATATGACATAGAAATAATACATTTCTTAGATAATAATATAGATATAGTGGGCAAAAATTTCCTGCAAGAGGGAGTGAAGAGTGAGAGTGACTTATGAGTGAGAGG